AACCCTAACCCATATGACTTATTGTCATAACCCTTAAACCCTAATGCATATGACTTAATGACATAACCCTTAAACCCTAACCCATATGACTCAGTGTTATAAACCTTAAACCCTAACCCATACGACTTGATGTCATAACACTTAAACCCTAACCCATATGACTTAATGTCATAACCCTTAAACCCTAACGCATATGACTTAATGACATAACCCTTAAACCCTAACCCATATGACTTAGTGTTATAAACCTTAAACCCTAACCCATATGACTTAGTGTTATAAACCTTAAACCCTAACCCACACGACTTGATGTCATAACACTTAAACCCTAACCCATATGACTTAATGTCATAACCCTTAAACCCTAACGCATATGACTTAATGACATACCCTTAAACCCTAACCCATATGACTTAGTGTTATAAACCTGAAACCCTAACTCATACGAATTTATGTCATAACACTTAAACTCTAACCCATATGACTTAATGTCATAACCCTTAAACCCTAACGCATATGACTTAATGAAATAACCCTTAAACCCTAACCCATATGACTTAGTGTTATAAACCTTAAACCCTAACCCATACGACTTGATGTCATAACACTTAAACCCTAACCCATATGACTTAATGTCATCCCTAACCCATATGACTTAATGCCATAACCCTAATATGTGAACCCATATGACTTAATTCCATAACCCTTCAACCCTAACCCATATGAATTAATGTCATAATCATTAAACCCTAGCTCATATGACTTAATTCCATAACCCCTAAACCCTAACCCATATGAATTAATGATATAACCCTTAAACCCTAACCTATGTGACTTAATGCGATAACACTCAAAACCCTAACCCATATGACTTAATGACATAACCCTTAAATCCTAACGCATATGACTTAATTCTATTACCATTAAACCATAACCCATATGACTTAATGCTATAAACCATAAACCCTAACCCATATGACTTAATGTCATTACCCTTAAACCCTAACTCATATGACTTAATGTCATGACCCTTAAACCCTATCCCATATGACTTAATTACATAACGCTTAAACCCTAGCCCATATGACTTAATGACATAACCCTTAAACCCTAACCCAAATGACTTAATGTGATAACCGTTAAACCCTAACCCATATGACTTAATGCGATAACCGTTAAACCCTAACCCATATAATTTAATACCATAACCCTTAAACCCTAACCCATATGACTTAATGACACAACCCTTAAACCGTAACTCATACGACTTAATGTATGACTTAGTGTCATCACCCTTAAACCCTAACCCCAAATTGCCATGTGGCATTACTATAACCCTTGCAATAATGTTCAGACTTCTCATAGTCATCTCACCTGCTACCCAATACATGAGATGAAAAAATGTACATTGTTAATTGTAAAAATCATTTCAATTTGACAACCGTATATATCATATGGTATATTTTAATTAAGTTTTAAGAAAAAGAATAATAATCAACATTCTAATTTTTTGAACTAACGTCAATTAAAAAACCGAAGGAGGAGTATGGAATCATCCTAAAAAAATACGAAACTCCTCCTCCTCCACTTTCGTTTCCTGCGGGAAAGGAAATTCCCAAAAATTAGAAGACTCCATCTCCAAAAATTCATCGATTCAAGAAACGAAATCCCCAAAAATCAGTATGAGTTTCTTTCTTTTTCATTTAATTAGAAATTTGTTTTTCATCTTGATTAACCCGATCTTCACAACTCCATATTTTAATGTGTGTTTCTTTCTTACTGGTATGGTTGATAAGGCATTACCGATGGTATGGGTTGAAAATTTAGGCTCTCATTTACCCTCTCCCCTTCTCTATAACCCAATATACTCTTATTCTCTCTCAAAAAATAAAGAGTAAATTACACGAATGGTGCCTATGGTTTAGGGTAATTTGCGTATTTAGTCACTAACTTATTTTTTTAACTCGGATGGTCCTTATGATAATCTTTTGTTGCATGTTTCGTCCCTGACAGAGGTAAAATGACCGTATAGCCCTTAAAAATTTATTTTTTTGATTATTTTTCAACTCTTCTTATTCCTATATAAAAGAAAATACAAAGGGGCCCACCATAAACGTGAGATGTCGTGGCCCTCTTGTCGTCGATAACCTGCATCAATAAAAGATCTTCCCTCGTTCTTCACACTCTCACCGGAGTTCCTTCAACAAAATTACTCGTCGGAGTCTATCACCAAAACAAGTGTTCCATCCGGCCGTCCCTCCTTCTACCGCCCACCCCATATAAGACCTCCACCCGCCAACGTCTATAATCTTCATCTGAATCCACCATATCACCGAAAACCTGTAGATATTCTGAAATCCCACCGCCTCATGGTCCTTTCTTCTCGTCAGAAACCTTTTGGTTTGATTTCTATGGATGAATGATGGGTTTGCAGTTTCAATTCCCTGTAATTTCTCGCTGAAAGCCTCCGCCCTGAAAACCCTAGCGAACCATACATGTCATGTTTTCTTCTTCCAACAACCATTACCAAAATCCGTCATTAATCCTCAATGTAAAAAGTGTTTGCTCACTTAATTTCCAAACCTGATAGTTTACCGACCTAAGAACCCAATCGGGAGTAGATTTCAGGTATAAAATCCAAGTACCAAACCATGAATTCAAATTTTAGGTTGCGTGTTTCTATTTGAATTTTATATTGGGTTCAATTTTCGATTTGGATTTGATTTGCAGGTTCCTTTTTTTTAGATGTAGATTTTTTTATTGAGTTGCAGGTTCCATCGACATCGGTGGAAAGAAACCCACATGCATTTATATATATGGACTGAGTAGCACAAATTCATTTTTGGTTTGAGTTATAGATTTTTGATCGATTATGGATTTGAGTTGTATATTTTGGATTGAGTAGTAGATTTTGATTTATTATGTTATTTATCTCTTCCTCCGTTTACAAAGAGTATCCATTGCAAATTATGTTATTGTTTAGTGTAGTTTTATTTATAAAATCCTTGTCGTTAAAAAAACATATTTGATTAGTTTATTTTGTCTTCCTTATTGAAGTCTTAGCCAATTTACTTTTTTTAATCTCCAGGATTGATCTTCGAGTTATTGTTTAGTGTGTTTTTATTTTTGTAATTTATATTAAAATTTTCATTTTGATAATTTGCTACAATTTTAGGGAACTGTGATGAAGAATTTAGTGTCAATTTGGTATTTTTCAAATAATATGAAGTCTGGACAATTTGTTATTTTTCATTAAATCTCGTTAAATTATTTCACTTTGAATCAAATTTAAACTCATAGAATGTATATTATTTATAAAAAAGCTTCATTACGCATTTTTAACTTATTTGTGTTTTACATATAATATAATATTTTTTATCACTTAAAATAAAAACATGACAAAATTTTGTATCAATAATTAGTTGGACATAATGATATGCAATAACAATTAGTGAGACAACAAATGATACAACAAATAATTGAAAAAAATAACTAAGAATATGTAAATTACTTAAACATACTATAACCAATGATATGATATTAAAATCATGAAGAAGCTTATAAGGATATATTACGTTTTCCATGAGAATCAACACTCAATTTTGATTGCATGAATGTTGAAAGATCTGGTGTTGCTCAAGGGTTGAGTGATATCGGGCTTGCCTTAATAGTGAGTTTTATTCAAAATACATGAAGAAAACAGGAAAATGGTTTCTTCGATCCTAAACCCCTAGACACAAAATGTACCGAAAACATATGGAGCTCATCAAAATACCAAAATAATTTCATTCCTTAACAATATTTTTAACAAAACATCAATGGTTAGTTTACTTCATAGCAAATCATCTACGAAATTGATTTCCATAGCTAATATATATTGCTAAATAACTATAAAATATTAATTCCTAACAAAGTCTGTAACAAACGTTTCAACGGATATTGGCTCCATAGTTAAACTTCCACGACTTTTATTTCAGTTGCAAATTTCCATTGGTAAATAGTTATGAATTTGAACTCCTTAGCAAATTTTCTATGGAATTTAATTTCGTAACAAAATTCCTAACAACGTAGCTAGACTTTTTTTTCCATAGCAAAACAAGCAACGAAAATAAAATTTCGTAGCACAATTTCATAGGTAAATAGCAACAAATGCTACTTCCATAGCAAAGAAATTATGGAATGTTACTTCGTTGAAAAACTTCATTGCAGATTAACCACACTATTTAATTCCATAGCAAAATTACAACGGAAAGTTTTTTCGTAAAACAGTTCATTGCAAATTTGCTACGAATAGCTTTTCCATAGAAATATCGGTAGCAATATACCAACGGATTTCGAGTCAGTAACAGTTTCCATAGCAATTCCTATGTTCGCTACCAAAATTAATTCCGTAGAAAATATGGTAGCAAATTAGCTATGGAATGACATTCCATTGCATGATCCGTTGCAGAATAACAATGAAAATGCGTTTCATAGCAACCTTCCCTAGCAAAATCGCGTTTTTCTTTTAGTGAGACACATACGCACATACATAAACACATACATACACATACACATACACACACATATATATATATAATATATATATATATATATATATATATATATATATATACTTACACACACATTTAAATACATACACATACACATACACACACACACACACACACACACACATATATATATATATATATATATATATATATATATATATATATATATATATATCGTTACTATTATATAAAACATATTCAACATTTCTTGAAAATTAAGAGGTACCACTATTTTAACATAATATACAATAATATTAAGCTTATAATCTACATGGTATACGATACCTAAATATACCTAAATGTATCTTACAGTATTACACAGTATTACCTTGTCTCTTGATGTTATCCTAATCTCCTCTACACACAACAACCGCCATCAAACAAAAACTCATCCGTCTCTCTCTTTATCTCTTCTCCCTCACGACGTCAGGTGAAGAGTGTTCTTCCATGGACGACAAATTCTCTGATTGTCGATGTTCAGCTTCATCTACGTCGTGGAACCCTAATTCGCCGTCAACATCACACACCATTCAGCGCCTCCACCATCGCCACCTGACTCCTTCAACATCACATACCAGCAGCACACCACCACCTGTTTCCACTGGTTCCTTGATGCTTCAAAAAACACACACTTCATTGCCTTCGTCGCACATCCAGCCACCACTGACGGATGGATCTCGTGGGCCATAAACCCAACCGGCGAAGGATACGAGAGCCGATTACTTCGATGGGGTGATGAGGATTTTTGCTACAGTTGAGTTTCCTGAAAAAGGGATGACGAGTGTGAATCATGTATGGTGGGTAAGGCCGTCGGTCTCGGCTGATGGGTTTCCGGTGAAACATGCTTTTCAGCCGGCGAATTTGGGGGCGAAAGGGTGGTTGGATTTGTTAAGTGGACAAAGTATCAGCAGACCTAGCGGTGGAATTGGAGGTGGTGATTCCAGAACGAAAAAGAGAAATGTAAGTAATCAAATTCTGATTTCATTAAAATTATCTTTTTTCATGGAAACCAAGTAGAATTTCATGATTCAACATCAAAACCAATCGAAAATCGAAATGTAATTTGTTCATGTTTCAGATTCATTGAATACTTAATGCACAGTGAGCTGGGGAATCTTGTTTCCTGTAGGAGTAATCATCGCTATATAGCTTCAAACTTTCCCCTCTGTAGATCTGGCATGGTTTTACCTTCATACATTCTGCCAAGTTTCTGCTTATGCAATCGGCGTCGCCGGCTAGGCCACGAGACTTAAACTTGGATCCTGGTCAAAGGGTGTCACCTACAACAGTCACCGCAGTATCGGGCTTGCTCTATTTTCTCTTGCAACAGTCCAGGTAATTTGAACCACTTCTTATGCTTGCATCTGTCAATTTTTGCAGCTAAGATATCTCTCTATAGCCTCTTTCTAACTATGTGTGTGCATGTACGTGTTTTTCAGATGATCTTCATCCCCTACGTGTTTTATCTTTGTCCCCACATAGAAATTGATCTTCACCGGCTGAACTTGAAATCGGCCATAAAAAAAATCTCATTTGTATTCTGATGGAGGTATGGAGTACCTTCTTTCATGTAGTAATTAGGGATTTCTTTTAAAATATCCTAAAAACTAAATCGTATTAACCATCTTAACCCTCAAAATTTTCTTTTGTGAATGTAGGAGTAGTGAAAAGTTGTCATTAAATTAGTGGAAAGGGTAGTCATCACCAAGTTTAAGAAAAACATTTACAAGATACATGTAAATTTGAACTAAATGGATGAAGGTACATCATATTTACTACTCATTACTGGAAACTCTTTTGGTATGTGTTCTTTTCCTAAACTAAAGAAAGCATACAAGGAAGACTTCAGTGAACATTTTGATATCAACCGAATTAACCAACGTAGAGTTCCAACCGAGGATGTCGGAAGCATTTAACATCATGAATATGCCTAGAAGAATTTTCAATTCCGTGTGAGACATTTGGTGTTGTTTTTTATTGAAGTTTTGACAACTTTTACGAGTGTGTTGCTTTTAAAGTTGATCTACTTTAATGTTAGACATATTATGGTGAATTTTTTCATGTATGGTTTATTTTTCTTGTGTTGCCTTATGACTTGATTTATAATAGTTTTTGGATATCTATGGAAATTTTCTTTTAACTATATATTAGTTTCTTCTATTGTGTTTTTCGATTACAAGTTTTTAGTATAGTTGGTTATTTATTAAGGGTTGTGTTGCTTTCTAAAAAACTAAAAAAAATAATGTTAAATCAAATTTTATTATTTTTCCAACAACAAATCAGTTTAATGTGAGAATCTTTTGTTGAATTAATGAGCTTGTGTACAATTGTTAATGTTCAGATCGGATATATGAAAATTTTGTACTTTTAAAATTATTAACGGTTATTCCAACACATCACACAAGGCTTTAAGCTTTTGGTATCGTACAATTGTTTCTTGTATTTTTTAGAGTATTTATTCGTGTGAAACACACATATACATGACTACTAAATCACATGGTGTACATTACAAAATGTTACATTCTTGATAATATAATAAGTGTTTACTCTTAACATTTCCATTACAGTATGTAATGATGACTGTAGATACGGGAAACGAAAACTGTGATGATTTCCAAAACACGATAGATATAGAAAAAGGTATGTCGTTTATATCGGTATATATTTGCATTTATAATATATGACTATTTATCAAAATAAAATATTTGTAGAAAATCGAAAAAGATACAATAGAAACTATTATGCACGAAAAAAAAGGAGAAAAACAAAATGAGAAGGATAGCTAACGGTGAAGGATGTAGTCAACTTACAACACTCACAGGTTGCACTACAATGGAGACGAACGAAACAAATATCAACGAAAATTCCTCTGTGAGTGTTATAAGTGCAACTCAGGGGACCAGTACTTATAATAAAGAATATTATCAACGAAGAAAGGAACAAAATATGATGACAAAAAGAAGAATATACGCCTTTCAGGAGGATCCATATGATTTTGTTTACAAGAACATCCCTATGGAACATCGTGTCTTAAAAGCTCAGAATCCTTGTGTTCATTGTGGAGCAAAATGAATACAATTTGAATTCCGTACCTTTTGTTGCATGAGTGGGAAGACAAAACTAGCATACTCCCCTATTCCCACAGAATTGCTCCAACTATTCACAAAGCAAGATCGTCTAGAAGAAGTTTCCAGGTACAACATAAGGGCGTACAACTCAAATTATTCATTCACATCATTGGGTGTCAAGGTGGATAAAGAATTGGCGAAAATGACTTCTGGAGTATATACTTTTTGTGCACACGGAACATTCTATCATAATATAGATCAGCTAATTCCAAGGGAAGGCGAGCCGAAGTACTTGTGTTGTACTTTTATGATGGTCAAAATGAATTATCAGAGAGAGCTAAGCACCTGAATGTTGATAGAAAAATCATTGAAAAACTAACTCATATTCTTTCTTCGAACCCATACGTTAGAACACTCTGAATGCATCGGTGGAACTTGATCAGAGGGTGTACAATAAGTCGACCACATCTGAGGTGTGAATGCTATTACTTATCTTTATGTTATTTAAAATAAAATGTGTCATATTTATTTTGAAAGATATACATATTATTTACGTTATTGAACCATACATTTACATAGGTTGCTGGTATTTGGGTTGAAGGCAATGACAACATCACTACATATAACAGAAGTATTATTGTGTATGGGAGGTCAGACCATACTAAAACAATTCAACCTCACTATGGTTGTTATGATCCGTTGTATTATCCTTTATTCTTTCCTAAAGGAGAGTCTGGATGGCATCCTAAAATACAAAGACAGGGAGTCTCCATAAATGAGATTATTACTGAAAATGAAAACGCTGACGACGATTTGGAAGGTATGCCTTAAACATTATATTTTACGTTTTTATTACAAATAACAACTATTACCTTAAGCGTACACATAAAAAACTTTATAAATATAATGTAAATTATCATATCGCAGATTTTAATGCAACAAGAGGTAGGAATACTATAACTATGTGCGAGTACTATTGTTACAAGTTCCAGATACGTTCAAATCATAACGTAATTCTATTGGGAGGGAGATTGTTCCAACAATTTGTGGTAGATACGTACATAAAGATTGAGACTTCACGTTTGGTTTTTTGTGAAAAAAACAAACCAAAATTAGAGCTGATTTATATCAAGGTATTGTTGATTGCTTTAATGGTGGTGAGCGTCAAACAAGTATGGTTAACGAGTTGTGTTACCTTCAAGTTTCATCGGAGGCCCCCATGACATGCGAAGACGATTTCTGGATGCCATGACCTTAGTTCAAGAGGATGGGAGGCCTGATATATTCCTTCTAATGACATGCAACCCAAATTGGAAAGAAATTGTAGATGAGTTATTGCCCGGACAAACAGCTCAAGATCGACCAGATCTTGTTGCAAGAGTTTTTCGTGCTAAATTAGAGGATCTCAAGGTACAATTATTGAAGATGAATTTCATTGGTGAGGTAGGAGCACATGTATATGTGGTAGAGTTTCAAAAGCGTGGATTGCCACATGCACATTTCCTCCTAATAATGAGACCTAGACATAAGATTACCAATCCAGACGATTATGACAAAATCGTGTGCGCCGAAATTTCAGATCCAATTAAGTATCCCGCAATGCATGATCTGGTTAAAAATCATATGATTCATGGTACTTGTGGTAGTTTACGAGAAAAAAGTCCATGTATGGAGGGTGTGCCAAAAAAATGTCGTTTTAGGTATCCTAGGAAATTCAACGACAAAAAATCATAAGGAGAAGACTCATATCCATTATATAGAAGGAGAAATAATGGAATTGAGGTGAATATAAGAAGTTCAAAATTGGATAATAGATGGGTGGCTCCGTACAACCCAAAGTTGCGAATGATGTTCAATTATCATATCAAAGTTGAGGTTTGTTTGAGTATAAAATCCGTGAAGTACATCTTTAAGTATGTTTATAAGGGTCATGATAAACATGTTATCCACATTGATCAAGACAGAGAAAATAACACGATTAATGAAATACGTAGGTTTCAAGATGCGTGTTATGTATGCCCTCCTGAGGCGATGTGGCAGATTTTTAGCTTTCCACTTTCTCAGATCCACCCTTATGTGATGTCTTTGAAAATACATCCGTCGAATCAACAGTTGGTTAGGTTCAAAGATGGTGATAGAATGGAAGATATTGTTGAAAGGGAGAATGATAAGAATTCAATGTTGATGGAATTTTTCGAGAAGAATAAAGAAGACTCCAATGCTAGAAAATATATGTACAAGGATTTCCTCAAAAAATTCACATGGAATTCGAGCACACATCGCTGGAGTCCCCGGAAACAAAAATCAATGATAGGAAGACTGGTTTATGCTAATCCAATTGAAGGAGAAAGGTACTACCTACGTCTGCTTTAATGTCATCCTACTTGCTTTGAAGATATATACACAACCAATGGTGTATTACATCCTACATTTCGAAAAGTGGCTCTTGAGACAGGACTAATAGAGACTGATGATAACTTGTCCCAATGTCTTGCAGATGCTTCCTTATTTCATTTCCCCAATGCACTTAGAAGGCTATTTGCTACGATATTGATTTTTTGTGAATCGGGCGATGTTTGTAAGTTATGGTGTGACTACTATGATTCTCTTTTTGAAGATTATTGGAAAAAATATGCGTGTTCTGAATGAGTCCAAAATATGATCCTCATCGACATCAGAGTCTTCCTACAATCTTTGGGAAAGAAACTTAGTGATTATGGTCTTCTATATGTGAATGAAGACATTAATTTACAAGCAAGATGTTTCTGTCAGGTGCAAGAAGAATACTCTATACTTGTGGCAAACAAAGACTTACATGCAAAAGACTCTCTCAATCCTAACCAAAAATTCGCATATGATGAGATAATGAGGCATGTGGAAGAAAACATTTCGGGTGTGTTCTTCATAGATGGTCCTGGTAGAACTGGAAAGACGTTTCTGTACAGAGCTTTATTAGCCAATATTCGTGCTCGTGGTCTCATTGCACTTGCGACAACTACGTCAGGTGTTGCGGCTAATAACATGCCAGGAGGGAGAACAACCTACTCGCGATTTAAAATTCCTCTCAATCTTGAAAATAACTCGATGTGCAAAAATAAATAAACAAAGTGGTGTAACTCATCTACTTCGGGAGGCAAAGGTAATCATATGGGATGAAGCATCAATGGCTAAGAGGCAAGCAGTTGAGTCAATTGATCGAACAATGCAAGCCATCACATGTGAGAAACTCCCGTTCGGTGGAAAGATAATGATTATGGGAGGTGACTTTAGACAGGTGTTGCCGGTTGTAAAGCATGGCACGCGATCACAAATTGTAGACTCTAGCTTACGAATGTCACCTCTTTGGCCATCGATTAAAAGGCTTCGGTTAACTATCAACATGAGAGCAGTAACTGACCCGTGGTGTTCAGATTTTTTTATTACGGGTCAGTGATGGAAATGAGGAAACAGTGGACGAGAACTTTATTCGCATACCTGATGACATGGCTATTAAATAAAATAATAATGCTAACTTAGTGGATGCTTTTATTGATGCAGTCTTTCCCTATCTGCAATCCAATGAAGCTGATTCATAATTTATCATTTCTAGGGCGATATTGACAACTAAAAATGAAACTGTTAATGAGATAAATGACCAAATGACCGAGCGATTTTTAGGAGAGCAAAAAGTTTACTACAATTTTGATGAAGCAGAAGACGATAGTTATAACTTATATCCGACGGAGTTCTTGAACTCACTGAATGTTTATGGTCTTCTCTTTCATTATCTTCGGTTAAAAATTGGTTGCCTAATAATACTATTACAAAATATCGATTCATCAAATGAATTATGTGATGGGACCAGATTGATATGTAGAGCTTTCCAGCAAAATGTTCGTCTGATGATAAGATGCTCCCATTCAAATTCAAGAGAAAGGCATTTCCACTTCGCCTTAGTTTCTCGATGACGATCTATAAAGCTCAAGGACAAACAATCCCAAATGTGGGAGTTTATCTACCAGAATCGGTATTCTCACATGGCTAACTTTATGTGGCCTTGTCCAGAGGAATATCACGTGTTAATACGAAGGTATTAGTAAAGCCAGAAAAAAAACGTTCGATCATGATGCAATCTACACATCAAACGTAGTGTACAAAGAAGTCTTATGTGATTAATAAGGTACAATTAAGAACTCATTATTTTACAATTGTTACAATATGTATCGTGTATAATAATATGATGTTTAATGCAAAACATGGCATTATATTTATGCATCGAATTTTATCTATTCCTCGCCGCCGCTTTGCGCGGGTACACCACTAGTATATATATATATATATATATATATATATATATACACACACACACTTGCACACACATTCAAATAAATACACATACACATATACACAAGCAAATACACACATACGTACACAGACACAAACACACACACACACATATATATATATATATATATATATATATATATATATATATATATACATGCCAACACATACACACATTCACATACATACATATACATAGATACATATATGTACATAGATAAACACATACATACATATACAAATGTACACATTTTCCCTTTTTATAATCATTTTTCATTATTTATACATTGAACGTAGATTATATCACCTTTTTGATATGTTAAACGTAGTTTTTTTCGTTTAATCGTTTGTGTGTTAAACAAATTCGTTACCATTATTATATTATCATTATGTTTATAAATATTATTATTAGTATGATTTTTAATTGTTCGGATCTTAAATATTTAAAAAATGCGATCCAAAAAAAAGAGTTTTAAGACGAATATTAATGAAAAATAATAATATTGGGAATAATAATAATAATAATAATAATAATAATAATAATAATAATAATAATAGAAATTAATAAAACCATTGGTATTCTGTAGCTACCTTCCTCCGTAGGTAATCCGTAACTATTCTGTAGCTAATTACCTACGGATTTACTTCCGTCGCTAATCTGTAGCTATTCCGTAGGTAATTACCTACGGAATAACTACGGATTCACTTCCGTCGCTATTCCGTAGCTATCCCGTTACTAAATTAGGGCATCCCATTCTGTAGGTAGTCCGTAGGTATTCCGTAGCTATTTTCTGTAGCAAAACACATTGTTTTCTAGTAGTGAAATTGGTTTTCTATGTGGCGTATGTGGTGGTCATGAGCAGATGTTCATAGTTAAATATTAATTAGTTTTTATTTTGATGAGGTGTATTATTATGTTATTATTAATATTATTATTATCATAATAGTTTTTTTAATTTTTTTTTTCTATATTTAAAACTGAATACTCGAAGTTTTTCAAGTTCATTGGCAAGATTCCTGTAATTATTTAAAGACCTCTCAGTGTTGGAATATCGCTATAGCAAAAAGAAAGAGTAATAAGTGAAAAAAGATAAAACGGAGAGCACGCAATGCATGCATACAAGTACTATGGAATATATTAAACGGATATTGGTGTTTTGAAATGACATGTCCCTCCTTTATACTTTTAGTTGTTCTATCTTGGTGTATTAGGTACAATATTGGTGCAGATTAGCGATTAGTTTCTAGGATTAATTACTATCATTATATACTTATAAAGGAAGCATTTTTCCTTTCACCACATTCATTTGAAACTCCCATTCATTTTTCTTTTCACCACATTTATTTGAAACTCTCATGACTTTTCAATTTCTTTCTAATAATGATTATAAGTTGGTTAATAAGGTTAAATAAATATAAAACCTAAAGTGTAATCATATATAAACTAAATCTCAATATTAAAAGAATATATTTTCTTCTACTTATAAAGTTACGTTTTTAACTTTTAACATATTATACTTAATTTATTAGGTCTAATATATTGTTGTTTGAACAATTTGTATAAAATACTTAAATTGTTAATTTAAATATAACCTTACAAGATCAACTTAAATATAAATTTTAATTCAACTTAAACAACCGAAAAAATGTTTTGTAAATAGTTAAAAGTAATAAATTGTAGTGACTTTCTGATAATGATTATAAGTTGGATAATAAGGTTAAATAAGTATCAAACCTAAAGTGTAATCATAAATAAACTAAATTTCAATATTAAAATAATAATTTTACTTCTACTTATAAAGTTATGTCTTTAACTTTTAACATATTATACTTAATTTATTACATTTAATATGTTGTTGTATGTAAACCATTATCAGTTTAAAGCTACAACTTTTGAAAGGTTTGGACAAAATACTTGAAGTTTTTAATTGAAATATAACATTACAGGGTCAACTTCAATATAAATTTCAGTTCCACTTAAAAAACCCAAAGAATATTTTGTGAATAGTTAAAAGTGATCAATTATAGTGCTAAATGCAAAAATTAAATTATAATATCAATTTAACTAAAATATTTTCTAAGGATATTTTTATAATCGTTAAAAAATTTCAAATAAGTAGCTTAAAATAACTTATAATAACAATGGTTAAAAATAACTCTATATAAATGATTATATTGTTACCTTTAAAATAAAAAAAATTGTTTTATGTTTTAAATAATTACAATGACAGAAATTAAAAAGTTAAATAAATAAATGTTAAAAAAATAATTAACAATAACAAAAACTATAAATAATATTAAACCATATATTATATTTAATTTTATTCATTAGCAACCCGCGGGTAGATGTCATTCAAAAGATTAAGATTATGCAATTTTAATAGATGTATATATTATCATATAATTCAAAATAATCAGTATATTACATCAACGTAGTATACGAATTATTATATCAAATTTGACAACATTATTCTTTTATTTAAAAAAACATATATTTGTAAAAATGTCAGCTATATAGTTGCTTCTGCGCAACGCACGGAGATTCACCTAATTACATATATATATATAGAGTGGTGTACACGGGGTAATTATCCTTTGTACTCTGTCTCCAATTCCCTGGTGGGTTTATTCTTTTCAATCAATGCTGCCATTAAAAAAAAGAAATAAACAAATCTCATTTATTAGTAATGCACCTCATCTGTGTGGGAATATGTTTCGCTAAAAGAAAGTAAAAGGACAAAAGATAAAGCCTAGACTAGTTAATGCACGCATCGAATATAATATTTAACCCTGCCCTATATATAAACCATGAAGAAGCTCATCAACATGCAACCCACACATATCTCTTTTCGATGCGAATGGCACTCTCATTAAACCCTTCTTCTACTTCTTCTTCTTGTGATGCCTCCTCATTATACCCAGATCCATTTCATGCAAATGTTTCTAACTTTGTTTCTGTGAAGCTTTCCAGTGAACGAAACTACCGTCTATGGGAGAAGCAGATGGGGTGCCTGCTGAAGAGTTACAATCTGCATGGCATTGTATGTGAACCAATTACCCCAGACCTCATTACCCGATTTGACAGACTTGTCAAGGGTTGGATTTTTGGTTCGATTAGTGAAGAGCTACTTGACAATGTTGTCGAACTTGAATCAGCTAAAGCAGTTTGGGACAAACTACAATCTATCTACTGTCCGACTATAATGATTCCTCAAAAAGGTATTCTCTTGTTATTCCAAACTCAATATTGCAACATTCTAACAATCAACACTGCTTCATATGCACTTATAAGTTTTATACTCATGATTGCCTGTTTCACGTGTGGTAGACTATTAAAATTACAATTTCCACATCATGAACAATTTGATGCGCATATATGCTTTTAATCACATTTGCATCTCGTTTATAAACACACTGCTGTTACATAAAGCTTCTAGAACTTCCAGACTGAGTAAAACAATTGCATAATATGCATAAGTTGGATTATGTAATATGTGTAATGCACGTATTTTACTTAATTTAGAAGTCCGTAAGCATAGTACTTCTATAAGTTTGCAGTGTGAGTTTAAACCAAATTTGACTTTACCACCACAATGAATGCCTCTTTTGTGACAATAAGTAGTGACGGTAACATGTTCCTTTCATATGCATGGTGAACACAATAAATAGCTAGACTAACTTTGGAATAAACAGAGGCTCCAACCTCAGTTAATCACTGGCATCTATATATATATATATATATATATATATATATATATATATATATATATATATATATATGGTAGCCTGGAGTAGGACATGCTACCCCTCAAAAAAATCACAAGTAATATAAACTTTTGATAAAAAAATTGCAAGTGAAACTATGTCACTGTAGGGTTGCCTTTGTTTCTTTTGTTTTTTGAGTTGGGAATGAATATGGTAAACCAATATACATATAGTATAGCAGGTGTCTCACTTTTAAACATAGTGGCTCTCTATCTTCGGTGTAAAGATAGTAACTAAAAGTAACTATTAAATTATAATCTTAAATCATTAACCCTATTAATTGTTTTTGTTTTTTATACTTTTATTTCCACCCTCAAACCGTTTTAGTTATATTAATTGTTTTTACATTTGTTTTTTTAATGCTATTGTTTCAATATGTAAGCCATGCATTAATTGTTTTTTTTAATCAATTAATATCTCTATAATATTTCTCTATTATATTTAAACCATATTAGTTAGAAAAGAAGAAAATAAATAACTTGACCTTGCACTAGTATTATCAATTGATTTTTTATTAAAGTAAGTATGATAATATATAATTTTAATTTAAGGACTATCAAATAAGTATGGATTTGATATTTCTTAAAGGTAAAAGAGTATGTAATTTAGATTCCACCGGTTTATTTTTTATCTAAAAAATAAACAATATTTATATCGGCAGAAATTTATCCACAAAACTATAATTATTCATTCATTCACAACATACTTTAAAAATACAACATCCAAAAGAGAAGTTTTTTCGGTTTTACAGCTTAAAAGGTTCATGATCTTATATATATATATATATTATATATATATATATATATATAATGCTACCCCTAAACTTTTTTTTGACCACCGGTTATAATGCAACAGAAAATATAGAGTGTTAGATACTTAGGGCATCCACAATACATTGAACTTCATACAGTTCAATGGACTGTCGCATCATTTTTCTACATTCTATATAACTCTATCATTTTTTTTCTACAATGCATTGAACTCTATAAAGTTCAATAGAAAATTTTCAAAGCTAATACATAGTATGTATTTAAGATTAGAAGACTTTCCTTTTTCCCATTGAGGAGTTCAATGGTCATTGAACTCCAAATCCATTGAATGTCAATGTGATATCTCATTATGGTAGCGTTTTATCCATTCTATGACAACTAAATGTGTCATCTCATTCTACTATTTCATTGAGTTCACCATTGTGGATGTTCTTAGAGTGAGTATTAGAGGTTTGTTTTTCTATTTAAGAGTAGAGTGCAAGTGTTATTTTCTAGTTCTGAATAAAGGAACCATTCAACCCAAAAACATGGTCATTTAATTAAGATTAAAAACCGCATCCATATTCATTTCAAACCAAAATAAAAAGGAAATCGGAAATGGGAAATAAAAGACATAGATAAACTTTCAACTGACAGACTAAGGTCATCTCCAATGGGAGTTCAATGAGGAGTTTAATATCATTAAACTCAAAATCTCCATTGTGGGAAAATGATTAGGATTCAATGGAAATGGGGAGTTCAATCCCCATTGAACTCTATATTCTCTCTCCTCAAACACACACACACACACATATATATATATATATATATATATATATATATATAAATTATTTTTTATTTTAAATTTTTAATTAATGTTAATTTTAATTGTAGTTTTTAATTTTTAATTTCATGATAATTAATTTTTAAAAAAATAACAATAAATAAAAAGAAAATGATAAATGATGTGACAATCCATTAAATTGTAATGAGTTTAATGGAGTGTATAGTTTAATGGGTAAATTTGTATCGTGAGTGGAATGTATATGTGTCAATCCACTAAACTCGTATGAGTTGTATGCATTGGAGATGGTTTAAGAGAAGAAATAGATATTGTTTCAGCAGAGACAACCACAGAAGCAGAAGTAGCAGAAAGGTCGACAATAAAAGCAGAAGAATTCTTGCTTAGACGCATGGTTCCAAAAGAAGCAGAAGGGTCGACAATAAAAACAGAATTCAAGAGTTATTTAAAGCTATTGAGGAACAGAACCCAACAGCGGGAAAAGGTAAATTATAAAAACATGATAAAAGAGGCGTTTTCTGCGCAAAGAAAAGGTAAATTATCAAAAACAGAACCCAACAGCGAGTTGTTTAAAGTTATTGAGGAACAGAGATGGCATGACCTAGAATCCATGATAAGAAAAGACAATAACGTGATCGCAGGGGCAAGCAACAGCGATGGCAACACTGTACTTCATATAATGGTTGGGATAGGTTTCAATTATTTTGTCAATGAGATGTTATCATTAATCGATGCAAAAGTATTACTTAAAATGCAAAATCAAGATGGTAGCACAGCCCTTCACATTGCTGCAATCGTTGGCAATAAACCTGCAGCAGAGCTCTTACTTAAGAAAAACAAAGATTTGCTGGAAACAACAGACCATAAAAATAAAACACCTTTGGATAAAGCTTTTGAAAATATGCATCTTTCTACCGTTGAATGCTTGTTGAAAGCAGCCAATGATGATGGGAAAACCAAGGGAACGCCTATCAGTGTAGATACAAGAAAAGGCGTCAACCTTCTTGTTAATGCCATTTCTGCAAAGAAGTATGGTGAGTAGCCAAAATATATTACATAAATACAATGATCATAAGACTTACTGATTTGAACATACATGCCTGCAGATTTAGCAAAGGAGTTAATCAAAAACAATCCTGAATTTGCTGTAGAAGAAGATGATGTACTGATGGCAATAGCTAAGACCTTTCCAAGTGGGCTAAACTTTTGGGAAACATTCATATATCCAAGTAAGTTTGTGATATCCAGGAGATATGTAGATAATTTAATTTGTTATTCGTTTTTAAGTTTCCCTTTCCTCCTAAGGATGCATGATTAAATATGGTTTTTTCTCTTTCAGGTCCAAAGTATTACTGTAATGGCATAGTCACGAGAGCTAAGCGCTTGTTTTATTTATTAGAACGTCTCTACAGAATCATAGGGGATACGCTTAACAATAATAGAAGTATAGTGTTCCTCATGAAAAGAACCAGTGAGCTCTAGATCAACGCTTTTATATATATATATATATATATATATATATATATATATATATATATATATATATATATATATATACCACTCGAGAATTAATTATATATTTGAACTCAGAAAGTATACGGATCGTATTTCTCTAATAAGAATTGGTGCTTTTGCAGTTCCATTAGGGGTACTATCATGGATCTTCAACTTGATTTGCATCCTGATAACAATGGTTTATTTACCATTCGTTATGGTTTATTTTTGCTTGTGGGAGTTTTCAAAAACACTAAGTAAGAGGATATATGAAGTTGATTGAGATATATTTTGGCAATAAATTTGATATGTTTTCAATAATTATTTTTTAACTTGCCGCAGTTGCACCCATTAAGACTATCGAGAAGAAAAAAAAGGAACCCCAAGAAGCAAAAGAAGTTCTAAAATTGATATGTGATGAAATAGACAACACGAAGTTGGAGTCCCGTGATGCTTATTCTCGCTATTACACCAAACCATTTCTGGAAGCCGCACGTCAAAACGCTTATCAGGTTGTTGATGAGATTTTAAAGAGATGTCCTGAAGCAATTCGGTATACAGATAAAAGCGGGTATGACATCATACAGTTATCCGTAATACACCGTTCAGAAAAGATCTACGAGCTTATCTATGAACTTGGGAGCGCTAGGAATGTCTATAAAATGATGGAAGATTCTTCTAAGAACAATCTGTTACACTTGGTGGGAAGATTACCTCCTTGGCATAAACTAAAGCTGCGCACTGGTGCAGCATTACAACTACAAAGAGAGCTTCAATGGCGTGAGGTAGGTTATCCTTAAATAATGAATTCTAGCTAGCTAGGCAATTATATTGTCTTTGTTGTTAATTTAGTGGAATATATATAAATAAACGAGGTGAATTAATTCCATAGGAAGTGAAGAAGATGGTATCTCCGGCATACCATACTAAAGAAAACATTTTTAATGAGACACCGGATATGGTATTCACAAACGAACACAAAAACTTGGTGTTGGAAGCAGAAATGTGGATGAAAACCGTAGCAGAATCATGCAGCATTACTGCAGGGCTGATTACCACAATTGTATTTGCGGCAGCAATTACAGTACCAGGTGGAAACCATCAAGATAATGGCTTCCCCATGTTTGCAGGACAGATTCCCTTCACGATCTTTGGTATATCGGTTGCAATCTCACTATTTGCATCGACTACAGCATTACTAATGTTCCAGTCCATCCTCACTGGCCGTTTTTCTGAGGAAGATTTTCTAGACAGTTTGCCAAGTCGATTGATTTTTGGCCTTTTCTCCTTAATGATATCAACAACTGCCATGATTGTGGCCTTCAGCACGACCTTGTTCCTTGTATTTTGTCATAAAAAGCTATGGATGCTTGCTCCGATAGGTGTATTAGCTTTCCTCCCGATTGCATCTTTTCTCATTGTTCAAATCCGCCTGACGGTAGATCTATTGCAGTCAACATATGGGCAGATCGAGTATATCTTTGAAAAGTATAACCTCGGAAACAGCATTACATATAATCCAAATGACGTCAGTCTGTTTTTTAGACAGTGATAATAAGTGCAGATCTCGGAATCACGTATTTTACTGCATTTTCTCCAAAGATATGTTGGGTAAAACAATCATAATTTGTTAATTTCCGATGTCGTTGAGAGAACAAGAACTACATTCTCGTTTGATATAAGTATTGTCAGATATTGAGTTTCCTATGTTATTTTGAGAACACGTATCTTCACCTCTTGAATTTGTTGTGATGACTATTTATTATTATTATTTTTTCTTTTTTCATGTGCTAATGTGCTTCTTTATACAAAGGATATTTGAGCAACCATGTGTGAACATTTTTTTTCCATTCATTATATGTCTAGTTAAACCATTACCTTTTACATTCATTATATATATCTAATTATATCATTCAAGACGCTGCTAGAAAACTGGTTTTTTTTCCTATGAAGATTTTCGAGAAAAAGAGCATGGAAATTCCAACCCAATAGAAAACCTTAATATAGATGGATTTAGAAATAGTTTAATCACTACTTGTCGTTCCAAAAAAAAAAAACCCTTAACTTAGTATCACATATATTAATTTAAAGCCTTAGAAATGTGTCGGAACTTTCCAATGCTTTTCCTACTGTTAGGTTGGAGGGTATGGAGAGGGAAATGGGTGAAATATGTTTTCTCTCACATTGACACACCATACCGCCACACCCTTTAGAGGGTGCGAGAAAAAGGTGAGGCGAGTCTATCCCTCACTCTCTCTCCTTAAGTGATTTGTCAATATTTTTTTCCAGTTTTTTTAACATTCATTAAATTATAAATCTAATAAAAAGTTATAAAAATATATATATCAAGATTCATAATTTTTAAATCCCTACAAGATGAATATAATATTTGTATGAAATATTGTAACACCCATAAAAAAATCATGCCAAATTTAAACTTTTTTAAAAACATATCAAAACCATTAACCATTACAAAACTTGTTTTCAAAATATATATTATCAGAGTATCCCAGAAACAACGTCATAAAAGTGAGGAGCTGTACGATCACGCCTTTGCCTTGCCACGATCCCCTGATGTACCTGAAACAATAAAGTGAAACTGTAAGCCCGAGAGCTTAGTGAGTTTCCCCAAAATACTGATACACTGCACATAGCACATATACGAATAACAACATGAACTGGGTCCATAATATTACAGACTGGATTACCCCTGGGCCCACAGTGTGAGTCTGGATTGCCTTCCGGGCCCACAACTCACATCTGGATTGCCATCGAGCCCACGGTACGAGTCTCCCTCAGCTCGTAACTGGAATGCTCACGGGTTTGTTGGTTACCGCACGAAGCAGTATCACCTCAACCCATCCGACATAATATGTCGACATATAACACAACTAATGCCCATATTGATAATCACATGATACTACAGGTAGTCCTACAGATCTACCTAACTGGCATAGCAACTAACATGCAACATTAACCCATGCTCAACATACTACCAACCGGTAGGAAATCATATACAATGGGCCGACCTTGGTGCCTTAGACCCTGTAGTATAGTGAGGATAACTCACCTCGCAACTGTTGACTCGAGAGATAAGCTCAAACTCCCGGATCACCGTCACAAACTCCACCACCTATATTCATCATAGAACCACATCCATAAATTTCCAATTTCCCAAAATGCCCCCAGAAGTCAACTAGTCAACCATTCGTCAAAGTCCAAGTCAGTGGTCAAGGTCAACAGTTCATGTTGACCTCAACTCGCCGAGTACAACCAGCCACTCATCGATTTCCTTGCATAACTCGTCAACTCGCCGAGTCACTTGAGTGACTCGTCGAGTTCCCTAATGTTTGCGGTCGTAAAATCTCAACCGCAAGCTCCTGACCGAAAACTCATCCAGTCGAAAAACCCCTTGTCCGTAAACTCCTTGGCCGACTCATCGAGTTTCCCTGCAACTCGCCGAGTTCATGCGTGCCAAAAGTCGGGAAAACCCTAACTGACTCGCCGAGTCACCCTACTGACTCGCCGAGTTCACGACAATCTTCATCGGACTCGCCGAGTTGACCATGAAACTCGCCAAGTCCCTTCAGTCCATATCTAAACAGATGCTTATTAAGCCATCTTAAGGTTCCATATTGCAGAGCCAGCTTCCCAAGTCATGTTTATCACGTAAAGTTGCAAACTTTACGTGCATGCAAGGCTCTAAAGTCTTATAATGACAAAACCAGGCTTGCAATGGAGTTTTACACTGAAGGATGAGTTCATACATGCCAAATCCGAGAGCTTTATGGACTTAGAGACAAAATAGAGTTCAGATTTGAAAGTTACAACTTCATATCTGAGGTCATACCCAAGAATAGCTTCATAATATGCAAGAAAAACCCTAATCTTCACCCAAATGAGATCTAGAAGGAAAATGAGGTCAAGATAATGACTTGATACCTTCAATTGATGCTAACTGAGGTAGATTTCTGACTCCCATACGTTCGTTGCTTCTAGTCACTTGATCTCCAAGCTCTTCTCACCAAGAATCCTCTTCCAAAGCTTAAAACACACAAATGGAGCACACACACGCATCAGGGTTTGTTGGTCTCTCAAGGGACTGCAAGGAGGCCAAAATAGGCTAATGATCCCTTAAATAGGGTGCAAAACCCCACAATTTAGGGTTTCATCCTCCAGCTCCTACTCATCGAGTCCCTTCTTGGACTCAGCGAGTAGGTCACTTTAACACGTGGACCAACCCGCTGCTACTCGACGTGTCAGGGCAACCAACTCGTCGAGTGGATCTTGAAATCATGAGAATTTATAACCGTAAGTTAATACTCGCGAATCGGGGCGTTACAATTCTCCCCCACTTGAACTAGACTTCGCCCTCGAAGTCTCCTGAGGTGAGCAACTTCGGATAGTACTCCCGCATCTCTACCTCCGGCTCCCACGTCCAATCGGACCCTCTTCGGTGCTCCCACTGTACCTTTACCAAAGGTACCTCCTTGTTCTATAGAACCTTCACCCTTCTCTTCAGAAGGGCCACATGCCTCTCAACATAATTCAGGTGCTCATCGACCTGAATGTCCTCCAACGATACTACTGCCTCCTGATTCATGATGCACTTTCGCAATTGCGAAACGTGAAAGGTGATGTGAATCCCAACCGAACCTTTTCATAAGGTCTATCCTACATGCCACTTTGCCAACTTGACAAAATCCTGATGATCCAAAGTATCGGAAACCCAACTTTCCCTATTCTTGAAACGAACCCTTTGTACTGACAGGATACTGGTCCCAAAATATCATACAAAATCAATCCACTAAAACACGAACACTCATGCCTGGCCCAAACAGCCTCGGGCTGGAATACCAAACATATCAGGTCCAATCAATCATAGGGTCCGGTCATCCTCAGGATGCAATACCCTAGATTGGAATACCCCTATGAAGATAACTTGGGTCTACTCATAACTTGAGATCCAAGGATCTATCCTTGCGTCTCATCCACCATCCTCTGATTCGTCACAACCGAGTGCAACTCCCTCGAATCTTCAACAATACATCCATTCCGAACGCGCTCCTACAAAACACATAACCAACACAATCTCTATGCGCACAACCTATGACTGGAATAACCTTACGTGGTCCTCATCATAGGTCTGGATTGCCTCCGAGTCCACATCATGAGTCTGGTATGCCCTCTTCGGCCCTCAACTCATGTCTGGAATGCTTCCGATGACCGATCGACACTACTGTCGTCACTTCAGTTGCCCAATACTTCGGTCCTGTAGATATCCACTTTGCTCCGCCGCTCGAAGGGCCTAATCGACGCTCCTCTCATCAACAAACAATCATAACGATACAAAAACTTCTATCACACATGAATCCCAAGTCATGAACCCACTTCAACTCTTCCTGCTACCATATGATGTTTCTCAGACGAAGTCGAAACCTCCCTGGTCCCAATTTGTCTGCCCACTACCCAAAACATCAGGCACCTCACCGAATACTGAACCAAAAGACACACACAAACAACAGTCCACGCATCTCCCGAAAAGAAACCGACTGGCTGGACTTGCTTCCACGCCCTGCCATCAACTTCTGCTAACATGATGAACGTTACAGACCCATGTCAGCCTCACCTCCTACCTGGTCTTCAGCGACCCATCTTCTCTTCACTTCAGACACGCTATGGCTCTTTCACAGATGAAACCAACTCAAGACACATCACTGTTAGGGCGTGTCAGACCCAACAAATAATAGGGGTACGATATACTCCAAAAGAATCCCACTATATTGCACTAAAAGGTAGTACAAGGCAAGCAGGGTCGATCCACAGAGACACGGGATAATTAGTCTATACCTCTTTGCGCAAGGTACTATTGTCACCAACAGTAAAGATGGGGGTTTTGAATGCAATAATTAAAACAAACAATTAAAAACACAAGTAATCAACTAAAAGAGTGAATTAAATTCAGAAATGGTAAGGACTCCAACCTCATGTATGACAACTTAGCAATGTAATTCCAAGATAACATGATATTTGCTAAATTCTATCTAAGTTGGTACTTGAAAGTGTTAACAAGCTCTAACACTTCCCATTCACCACATTAATTTGTTGGGTTTTGAGCATTCTAACACTTCCTAAGTGTACATGCAACCCTATTAAACCTTGGATCTATGTGTGTCTAAGATACATGCAAAATATTATTTTCCAAGGTTTATAACCTATCTAGCATGGCATGGGGTACTTTTAACCATAAAAGAACTAGATGAATTACATACCTTTTGTTGATTGTTGATTCCTTGGAGTTTGAGAGCCAAGCACCAATAATGTGAATGCCTCAAATGGAAATCACAAATCACCACAAACTTGGAAAATGTATGAGAGAGTATACTAACTCTTGATTTTGGCCACCACACTTACACACACACTTAGGGGTGTTTTTCATGCAACATAAGCTTGTTTATATAGTGTGCATGGTTAGGGTGAAACCCTAATAACCCATGTCTTTTCCTCTTCCAAGGATCCATGGGTTAAAAGCTCCATGGATCATCCATGGACTTCCATATAAGCTTATCCCATTAACAAATGAGCATTAGCCACACCATATAAATACAATAACCCATGATTTAATTAGTCTTCCTTTTAATCACTAAATCAATTCATAATTAATTCAAGATTAAAACTAATTAAATAACATGACTTTATATTAATATATTATAACTTATAATATATTAATAAATCGTAAGTATACAATTCTCATAAAATTATCCATAAACAGTTTGGGTGAAGTGCAACCCAAA